CTTGTTCATGTTCTGCTCCGTGTAGTGGTTGAACGGACTGTAGTGGCTGTTGACGATCTTCCACGTCGCCGTCGATTGTTTCACCTTTTCGGCGATCTGCTTGCGACTATCGTCGCCCCACTGCGAGAACTTGCCCATGCACGAGTCAAACATAGCGGTATCACCACCACAACAGTACTGGTGGCCACGGCCAACGTTGCGGCACGTAGCACTGTCGCCGTTCGAGTAGCCGTAGCACTGGCAACAGATCTGCATCGCGCCGTGGATGTCGGCGTCGTTTGTGTCCACGTTGAAGATGTCAATGCTGACACCCGTGGCCGGGTCCTCGATACGGTGCACGTAGAAGTGGTCGTCCAGGTTCCAGCGGTTGTCGTTCGGACTCGTGTACTCCGACTGCCACTTGAACTTGTTGTCCAGTCCCTGGAGTAGAGCGTCGGTGGACTCGCACTTAGCGTTGTTGTCTCCCTGGTTGCACACGTAACTGGCACCACCGTAGTCGTGGTTGCCCAGCACGTTCACCCACGGGATCGTCTTGATGTTGTTGCCGTTGAACTTCTCCTCGAACGTCGTGGCGAAGCGCGAGTCACGGCCCTCCAGGCTGTTGATTCCCGTCCAGTAGAAGTTGTCACCGTGTCCGATGATCACCTTCGGCTTCACGGCGGCATTTCCAGCCTCCGTGTTCATCAAACTGGCCACGACATCTTCGGCGTTGATATCGTAGTTGCTGTAAGTGTCAGAACGCGAGCAGCACGAACCCTTGAAGGTGGTTGTTCCCCAGTCACCAATAGCAAAGGCCGACAGCGAGTACGCAGCGGACGCCGGGTCCGATGTCACCTGGGTGTCCGCTACAACAGCGAGCACGCCCACGTAGCTAGCTAAGAGTTTGGGGGTCAGCATGATCGTACGTCCTTAATAAGGCGTTCAAAGTAAATTGAAGAATGAGGGCAGTGGTTGAGAGCCGCACCACCAGGAAGAGGATATCTGAGGAGGCTTTGGTGTCTCAACGTAGATCAGACTATCCCCATCTGGCAGATTGCAGCTTTGTGATGTTGGTCGTGAGTAAGGCTATCCCCAAGCGGTTGGCAAACGCACTGCGAAAGCCGCACCTGACAGCAGAACTTTTTGAACCGCAAAGTTAACTCGAAAGGTGTCTCTAGCAGGCAAGACACCGCTGTGAATGGGTGCCGTGCATTTGCTTTCGCTTACATGTACCTGTTCCCCGCTACAACCCACAGATAAATGGCACTCTGCCACAGAGGGAGCGACAGCCTTGAGTTCACTACATTGTAAGCCCACGATAGCATGAAGTCTTACGTAGAACGTATCGCATCTGTAGTGTCGCGATTAAGCATAGATTAAGAAATTCCAGTACGAAGTTCAAGTCAAGTTTTGATTCATTTCTGTTTAGCGAAATGTCTGGTTGTGTGGCAAAAACCAGCAAGTGGCTACGAACGACACATCTAAAGCCAGACAACTTAGCATCTACGGCCCTCGCCGCCGTCCGACGGAATGTACCAGCAGTGCTTGGTCTCGACGCCTCCCTGCTTGGTGCTCTGGAAGTTCTCGCCAAACTGCCACGATCTGTCGGCCGTGTGGTACTGCAGCTTAACCCAAGCCTTGGAAGCCTGTAGCGACATAAAGCCGTACTCGTTGCTGCCGTACATCCACTTGTTCTGGACGAACGGAGCCGCGTACGACGGGATACCACTGGCCGACTCCTTCTGGATACCACCACCGGCACCGTTCTCAATGAAGTGAATGCCCAGCGACGAAGAGTAGTCGTGCTTCTCGCCGTGAGTGTGGCCGTTCAACCAGATGTGCACGCCCGAGCCACGAAGGACGTCGAACCATCTCTTCATGTTGTGCTCGGCGTAGTGGTTGTACGGACTGTAGTGGCTGTTGACGATCTTCCACGT